CTTTTTGTCACTCAGAGTTTACATGAACAACAAGAAGGTCAGATTTTGCAGCAGCTGAAAAAAATATGTACAGCTGCATCCTGTGGGTGGAATTAGATTATTTAGAAACGGAAGTTGTTTCCCCTTAACTTAAACCTCACATAGTCTTAAATGTAACAGGATACAGCTTCATCTTGTAATGCTTAACCTCACTTCAACTTTACTCTAACCCGCTGTGCTTACTATAAGCTCATGAACCTTTGTAGTTAAAACAAATTTAACAACAACGGGTCCACTACAGCTGTGCCATTAAAAAAAATGTTGTAACTGAATTTTTAAATTACTGTAATGTATTGCTAAATTATTTTAGTTAGTTTGACCCCAAAAATAAAGATCTATCTCAAACTCTGCAAATGAAACAGTTTACTGAACAAAATAGTGGTGTGATATATAAAAAACTAGAGTAACAGTTTTAATCAAAGGCTTGATGTTAAACTGATTGTTGTAAAATAACAGACGTTTTAAGCTCTGTTCTTTCAGGGCAAAGGTCTGTATCTGATGGTCCAGAAGGGCTCTGCAGACAAGTTTATTCTGGTTGTTGACTATTCGCTGCTTTTATCATTGACCGCCAGAGGGCGCTGTTGTTTGAACATTAGTTTTTGGTGATGCTGGTGGAGCTCAGAGGAGAAAGTCAGCCTCTGTCAGGTTCTTGTCAGAGCACCAGAGCAGCTGGTTCAGCAGTGGGTCAGCAGGCTTCTCTGCTATCAGCTCTGCTATTTGCTCTGCTGTAGCTTTGTCAGGAAGCAAACAGTCATCTCCAGGATTTCTGCTTTCTCCAGTTTGGAGTCCGGCTGCTGTTTGAGGAGCTCTGGATCCAGGATAAATTTCAGCTGCTCAACGCAGGACTTAATTCTGTCTTTGCACAACTTCTCCACAAGAGGCTTTCCCAGCTGCAGAAAGTAGAAAATACATTTTTAAAAAATTCAAGAATTTTGTTTTAGTAAAAATGTATCTAATTTATTACAAGTTTTTGACAATTGCGTCAATTTGTGATTTACCTAATGAGTTGGGATCACTTTCTCCTGATAAGCGATCATTGCAGTAGGGATGTAGGTGGATCTCTGTGCTGTAAAGGTCTCAGTGGACAGAACCTGATATCCCTCCCATTTATACTTCACCATCTCTATATGAATGTTTGGGTCTTTCCCTGCTTGAGTTTTTCCAGTCTAAGCCAATCAGTGGCATCATGCTCCTGTTATTGCCCAGGAAACAGTGGATAGAGATCAGGGGAACAGGTGATGGACTCTGGGAGAGAAGTACTCTCAGAACTCAAATTGAATCTCAGAAAATAGAAACCCTGTAAAGAAAACTATGACTCATCATCCCAGCTTAATGATCTATTAACGATCTAATTAATGAGCCACATATAAAGTAAAACTTACTTCGATTTTTTGGTCTCAATTTGTTTGATAATTTCTAAACCCAAACCTTTAATGCATCTTTTTTAAAATAAATAGTCAACTGAACATCATTCAGTTTTAATGAAATGCTTAATTTTTATGCAGGATAACAAGTTATGTTTACTAACATGTTGACAGTTTATCAGATTGGTATTGTGGGCTGTTTTAGTTTTCTGATTGGTTTGCTGTAGTTTATTGCTTTACTCAAGTACTCAAGGCAATAATTGTGCTGTTGCTCTTGTGTCAGTGACATGTGCCTTTTAGTCAATGGGAGTAACACGTTGATCTGGGTTTCCCACACTCTCTCCCTGTGCTGTTGTCAGTGAGCCACAAAGAGACTTTAGTGGCAGATGCTGCCCGTGTGTTGCTGTAGAAAGAAAGCATTGCATCACCAACCATCTGGAGGGAAAGGATCCCATTGGCTGGCTCTGAGTGGTAGTAAAATTTGGAATTGTGGTGAAAATTTGCCGTAATCAGAGTAGTTTCACATCATATTTTCAGGTTGCAATCACTGTGATGGGGTGTTCATGGGGATTGCTGAAGTCTGCCAAATCCCTTTGCAGTAATAAAAAGCTGCTGGTGCTTTTGCCACAGTCCTCCAAAATTAGCAGGTGCCTGCCTACAAATAGACTTTCATTAATGGACTGCACACGTGCAGGTGCTACACAGTGGATGGGCTTCTCAGCAAATAATTGCCCATTAAGCCTTGAATGCATTTCTTGAACCCCATGATATACATCTATAACACATTTTGAGTTTGATCAAGCATTGTTTATTTAAACTATTGTTTGTAATGATAAAGGAATTGTTTCCTTTTGGAAAGCCAGATATCATAAGCAATATACTGTAACTTGGACTTCAGCTGTTATTCTCTTAGTTAGAAAAAGAAAAAGTATGATGGCCCGTGTGATTTTGTAATTTGAGGGGGGTTTAGACTCCTGATTCCTTGTTAATCTGTCAGGGCAAAGGTCTGGATCTATTGTCCCACAGCAGCTATGTGAGTGAGTTTTGCCTGGTTTCCCACACAATTCCCTTTCACTGCTTTCACTGGAAGAACAATAGAAGTGTGCCTCATTATACAACACATTAGATACATTGTCTGACGTCCTTAAAAAGGGATGTGTTTAAAGTTACATTAAAAAAAAAATGAAAACATGCACGAATGCACAAAAACATGAATTGGTTTGATGGCTTAATGTTGTTCAATTAAATACAGTGACACAAAACGAATAATTCAGCTTCATTAAATGAGTTTCGATTATATTGCTCCAGACTTTGATCATTTAGTTAAATAAAACATGTGTAGTTTGATTGTCTGTTAAATTTCTTGAAAATTGATAGCCTGGTTTAAAGATGAATTTATATAAATTTATACATTTATATAAATTGGCATGTTTTTTTTTAAATATTTATGTTAAACGTCAACAAAAAAAAACATGTCTACTCACTGTACTGAACAGAGAAACAGCTGTCTTTATAAGAGACACAAACAGATTGTGTTTCACATAAAGCAAGGTAGATGTTTACAAAGTTATGAGCACCAATTCATGACTTTGTAGCGACAAGTTCACACCGTATATATTCTGCCAAACTATGCGAATACTATGTGATCATGAAATGTTTTTTGGAATTGGACTTCTCTGTATGTTATTTTTAAACTTTTTCTCTCTCTTTGAATTGACTGTAAGTGCTGAAAATTGCTAGTAGGAAAAATACACAGTTTTTGTGCTGGACGAAGTCATCTTGTCCATGTCACATGTGTGTCCTCTGTCTCTGGTTTGTAGCTGCTCTCAGTTTCCCACACTCAGTATTGAATCATGTGGTCAGTGCACGACAAAAGGACCCTGAAAAGACATTATATAAAGGTTTGGCTGTGCTTGACTGAAACTGTGTGACGTCACTAACCATCTGGAGGGAAAGTACATGATTGGTTGGCATGACCAGGCCTGATAAAAATCCCAAATTACTGTCAAAACCAAATCAGTTGTTTATAACTAAAACAATCTGCACCTAACTATTACACTTAATGGAGAAATTTTGGATTGCACATAACCAACTAGTGATCGATAATTAAGGACTCACAGCCTAATTTGGTTCTAAAGTGTGCCAACAACCCACCGCTGAAAGGATGTTAGTGACATATTTTATGTACATTCATTTTGGACGCTTATTAATAAGAATAAATATTTGCATGTTAAGTATCTTAACACCTGTATGTTTAACATGATCAGTTTGCAGCATTATGCCACCATATTCCATTTCACTCTCTGTCTACCGAGGACAAAGATCAACATGCATTGTCCCCACTGGGGCTCTGTGAGTGAGTCTCTTCTGGTTTCCCACACTGCGTCCTTTCACTGCTTTCACAGGAAGAACAATGGAAGCGTGTCTCCTTACCCATAACATTAAAAGACAATAGTTATCGTTGAAGTTTTGGCCCTCCCATGGCCTGGGGACTGCTCCAAAGTGGTGGCCAATAATTTGTTGATATTTGAAGCTCAAGAAAAAAAAACATAAAATATTTATATTTGAATTTTTATATTTAAATGAATTCCTCTTCTAGTTGTGAATTTCCACTTTTTGATTGAATTATGGATTGACAAATGAACAAAACCTTGTATGATCACAATATTTCTTTATTAAGACACACTCAGTATTAACATTTTATAAAGTCTCCAACGGGAGGTAGATAGAGGTGATGATACATCACAACAGCCTGGTAACAACAGACACCGTACTCAAAATGAGTGGAGGATCAGTCATCTTTACAAAAGACACCAACAGTATGATGTGAATCTTCATATCAGACTTTCATAAAACATGCTCCAAAAGGCATTATCTTAAAACAATCACAAAGTGATCCAAATAAGTCAATCCACTGTCTATACAGTATATTTATCGACTTAAATGCATTTAATTGATACACCAATGATTCTAAAAATGAAAAATAATCTGACATTGTGTCATTCCCATAGGAATTATTTTTTCTAGTTCTTTTTTTTTTTTTTTTTACTTGAAAAAGCAGAATAACAGGTTAAGAAAACATCTGTACATACAGAAGAAAGTTTTCATGTTGACATGATGCTTTCTTTCTTTAGTCAAAAGTTAT